CCGCGCCGGTCACGCCGCCTCCTCGCTGCCCGCCGCCGCCGCCGCCCCGCGCACCAGGTGAGCGCCGCCGGACACTGCCGGGGAGAAGCGAAAAGCCTCCAACAAAGCCTTTTAAGTGCTAACTTGGTCCGCGTTCCTTGGTCCTCTTACCATTCTTCCTCAGGCAGAGGGTTCCCAACTATCAGGCTGTAACGTCGTTGTTAATCTCCTCTGTATCTTCTGGTTACTCCAAAATGTCTTTAGAGGACCACAGATCTAAGATCCTCGATGTCCAGTCTTCAGCTCCCTCAGGCTTTTGTTTATTGAAGCTTGTCGGAGCTAGTCCAGAGAAACTCAAAGCTTCGGTGGTTTAAAGATCAAACGGTGAAGAGTCTGTGCAAAGAAACCTAGCTACCGGCTGCCATTAATTAAAATTTAGGAAAGTTGTAGTATTTCCAACATGAGGAACGGCGGCATCGCTGGTCCCCACCGTGTCCAGCCCCAGGTCGATCCTGCCCACCAGGATCACATGCCCCTCGTGTCTCCCGAGGGGACATGGTGGGTCCCTTGTGCAGGTGACCCACCATGTCTCTGAACCGTGATTTGGTAAAGGGCCTCCTTCACCTGCTGGTGCTTTTTTGGGTCGTTTCTGGAAGATGTCCTCAAGGGGACCCACCAACTCCCAGTTGCACCCTTTTCCCCTGCTGCTCTGGAACGTGTCCTCCTGCCTTTATGTTCCTCTCACAAGAATTAGCCTGGGTAACACCCCAATAGTTTCACTGTTTTCACCACACACACCACGTTGCTCTCAGGGTGAGGGACGTCTGAGGGGTTCGCTCCTTGGCCCGCCACATCCTGCCCCACTGCAGGAAAGGCTCGTGGCATGTGCCACCTTGAAGATGCCCAGTGAGGAGAACACAGTGGCCCTCCCAGCCCCTGCAGCATACACTGCTCTGCCTTCCCTTACTTCTTCCCCTTCCGCCTTCTGAGCGCCACAAACTCATGAAAGAGGAACAGTTTCCATCCCAATGGAGTTTGCATCACGTGGTCGGGGGGTAAATGTAAACCATGTAAAAGTTTCAAGCTCATCCCCAAAGTAATGGCATTCCTTTGTTTTCCCCAGATACCTTTTGTACGATGTAAATCCCCCTGAAGGGTTCAACCTTCGCAGAGATGTCTACGTTCGCATTGCTTCCCTTGTAAAGACCCTGCGGAAAAGTGAAAACTGGGTGTTAGTCCTGCCTCCTTGGGGGAGGCTTTATCACTGGCAGAGCCCCGATATCCTTCAGGTCCGGATCCCTTGGTCTGAGTTCTTTGATATCCCAAGCCTCAACAGGAACATCCCTGTCATTGAATATGAGCAGTTCCTTGCAGGTGGAGTATAGGATCATGCAGTTCTACAATTGACTAAATATTTCAGATAGTTTCTTCACAGGTTTGTCCTTATAGAGGGCTTTTAGCCTTATATGTGAAATAACGAAAAGGTTTGAGGTGATGAGAGGACGGCTGGGAAGGAGTTTTACTGAGTTACAAAACCACTAGGATGAAATAATCCAATTATTTCGCAACTTCCTAGGGTCCCCAGAGACAGATAGTTAATGCGTGTGGTTAAATTCAGAGATTTCTGCCCGATTTTGACCATAGATTTGCACTCCCACGGTCACACCGTTGTGTTTGGCACATTACATCATGCAGAGCTGGGTGGGAGTAACAGGTGGTCACATTGCCTGACCCTTTCAACTTTTCTGGCTCACACAGAATTTATTTTCCATTTTTTAGAGGGAAAACAGGGAAGAGAGAGGAGTGTCATACTGGCGTTTCTAGCAGATTTTTAACTGCAAGTGATGCTAGTTCATACCTTTCTCGTGTGGGTTTTCATGCTCACAAATCCTTTGCTTTGCCTTCTGCTCAGAGTCAGGTGGGCCCTTTATTGAACAGATTTATGTGCTGCAAGGCTACGCAGAAGGATGGAAAGAAGGAACATGGGAAGAAAAAATCAATGAAAGGCCATGCATTGATCAGCTGATGTATTCCAAGGACAAACATGAGTACTACAGGTAACATCTAGCAGTCCTTTTGATCTTCTTTTCTTTGGTATTCAGTGAGACAGTTGCCTGCTTTTAACAGAATAGACTGGTGTGGTTGTTGCGATGTTGTCTGTGAATACCTGAATGCTTGGGGTTCACGTTGTTTTTTATATGTATTGATATGAGAAAATCTAACTTTAGAAAAATGTTGTTCCACGCAAAAACAGTAAAAAGGAGGTGGCTGGTTTGCTGGCATTATATATTGTCCTTCTAGGATGTACTGTTTATTTTTTTTGTTATATATATGACGTTAATTTAAAGTACACGCCTGTGAACCAATCCTTGGTGTTCCCTTTTAGGGGCTGGTTCTGGGGTTACGAGGAAACACGAGGCCTAACCGTCTCTTGTTTGTCTGTCCAAGGATCTGCTTCCATTGTGGCGCCCATCCTTCTGAAGAACACTTCAGCACAGTGAGTTGTCTTGTCTTACTATTTATTGTTGTCTTGCGTGCCCACAAACCTATTGCCAGGTGTGAAGAGCAGGGGGAACTTAAAGGCTGTATCCCACTGTTGTGCTACTTCATCACTGAGGGGATGAAATCGTTACAGAAGGGATTTACACTGTCAGAAACAACTGTGAATTTGGTGAAGTGCTACAGTGCTAAAATGTAAGAGGAAATAGCCTTGAGCTCCTTTAAATTCTCTCTCAGGTAGCTAAATGTCCTTACCATCCTGTGTTTGCCTTTCCTTCCTTTGCCTGGTGCTGGGTCAAGAGGGAATAAACAGAGTGGAATCAGTGTTTCTCAGGCTGGGATCTCGGATGGTGAGGTGCAGTGCCTGGTCTCCTGTGGCATCCATCCTCAGTGCTATGAGCTGGGTTTAGAGAAGGCAAGCAGCAAGTTTTGTCTTTCTGACGAGAGCAGTGGGGGTCTGTAATACCTCCCACGGGGAGCAGAGGAAGCAAAGTGCTGGTTTTTAACAGAAATGTTCTTCTATTGTAGGAGTTCCACCATAATCCTGGCCAGTGACAGCACGGTTCCCTTCTCCCTCCAGCGGGCTGTGGGTCACAATTTGCCTTCTAGAGAACAGACTGGCAGCCTGTCCCTCATTCCCTGTGCTCCCTTTGCAAACAGATCATAGCCTGTGCTTTATCCTAGCAAATGTATAAAGAAACACATGGTATAATGTGAATTCTATTCCTAAGGGAACTGCACTCAGTTTTACAATTTTTAATAGGTCAGTGATGTTAGACAGAGCCGAAAACCTTCTTCATGACCACTACGGAGGGAAAGATTACTGGAATGTGAGTATTTTTCGGTTAGCTTCTCTAGACTTTTTACTTGCCTCTGCTAAAAATTCAGTAACCTCTGTGGGCTTGAGTTTTGCCTCGGGTTTCTTTTCTTGAAAGTAACTTGTGTCTTATGTTTCAGCAAGGTGTGCTAGAGATAGTCCTTAAACTGCTGTGGATTAATGTAACGCAGGAATTTGTCCTCTTTTGTCCCTAAAGACCCAGTGCTGCAGGGCATGGTGTTTAGAAGGCACTCCCCTGTACAACACATCTACAATCAGAGGGGAGCAGTTTCTTGTTTAGTCAACCTCAAGGTTAGACTTTTCAAAAGAATTTCCAGAAGTGCTCAGTATTGTCCCAGCTCTCTCCCCATCATTTTCAATGGCAAAATTCCCATGGGTTTCAAGATAACTCTGGTCACTTCCCAAGGGTGTATGGTAAAATAATTCCTATGCTAAAAGTTTTAAGAAAAAGTTAAGGCTTAGCCACAGGAAAATTATATGGAGTGCTTGACGTAGTTAAAACTCCTAAGAGAGAAAATGACCCTTAGGATACTACAAAACAAGTTACACAGACCTCACTCTTGTAAGATGTGAGCTTGTGGGGTTGGGGGGAACTACACAGTGTTACATTGCAGCTCATTTCATCCTGATTTGTAATCCTGAAGGGCAGGCTGCAACTGTAAGACCATATGTCCCTCCTGCCCCCCTGACTCAGTGGGGAAGGGATTGTCTGGCTCAATGGGGAGTTAAAAGTACCACAGATTTTTAACAGGGGCCACTGTGTTTTTGCAGGGCGTTAAACAGCCTACATTGGCACTTACATGGTTACTGATGCTCCAGTGTGGGTACCTCAGTGGCCCCTGTCCAGCGAAAAGTTACAGGCCCTGCAGGATCTGGTCCAAGAACAATTGGCTGCTGGCCACATTGAGCCATCATTCAGTCCCTGGAACACTCCTGTCTTTGTTATAAAAAAGAAATCTGGAAAATGGAGGGTTTTACAGGATTTAAGAAAAGTTAATGCTGTCATGGCACCGATGGGAGCTCTGCAGCCAGGACTCCCATCACCCACAATGATACCCCTCAATTGGCCAATCATAGTAATTGATCTGAAAGATTGTTTTTTTCACTGTTCCTCTAGCTGAGGCTGACAGGGAAAAGTTTGCTTTTACAGTACCGTCTGTTAATAATGCAGAAGCTACAAAACGTCATCAATGGAGAGTTTTGCCTCAGGGGATGAAAAATTCACCCACGATTTGCCAGTGGTATGTTGCAAAGGCTTTGACTCCTGTGAGAATCCAGTTCCAAATTGTTACTGTTTCCATTTTATAGATGATATTCTGTTCTCGGCCGAGCAAAAAGAAACATTGTTGGCAGTTACAGATGCAGCTAAACAATCACTTCAGTCATTTGGCACGAGAGAAAATACAAACCTCAGAACCTTGGAAATATCTGGGCCTCCTCGTCGCACTGGCTTTCCCGTTTCCCTGGAGAGACTGTCCTCTCCAGGGAAATTTTAGCATAATTCCTATGCTAAAAGTTTTAAGAAAAAGTTAAGGCTTAGCCACAGGAAAATTATATGGAGTGCTTGATATAATTAAAACTCCTAAGAGAAAATGACTCTTACGATACTACAAAACAAGTTACGCAGACCTCAGTCTTGTAAGATGTGAGCATCTGGCTATTCACTTGGGATATAGCATATTTTTCAGAAATGGACCAAACAGTAGTTTTCTAACCTTGAACTTTTCATTGAGAGTGAGTTTCCAAACAGAGAAATGCAGCCCACAGATCATTTTTGAGTCTGACTTGTTACAGGACTTGTAGTCCTGTAAAAGTAGACCTGAAATCCACGTGGATCCATAACACACATTTCTTGGCAGTGGCACTTTAAATGTTGCCTCAGTGGGTTTGCCTGAAAGTCACAACCAGTAAGTCACTCACTGTAGCTTGGGCTCTGGGCCTCTTCTCTTTCCATTTGCAGACAAAAAGGGAGAAATACGGAAAGAGTGGCAATATCACACATGCAGATTTGAAACATTATTCTAAGAGAAGGGGAACCAGGTACAGAGAGCACACATTTCCTGAAGTGTATCAGTGGAGCTCACGCATTCACCTGTTTTCTCTTTTACACGTGCTGTTGCAAAATAAGTGTTCACGCAGACCAGCTGCTGTCAGGGGAGTGCTTTGTGCCTGGGAAGAGCTCGGCACAGCAATACTGCCTGGGTGCCAAATGTGGTATGGCAGTCACACAGTCCAACAGGATGAAGCTCAGACATGTTTGACACAAGCATAGCATCCAAAGACGTTCATTGTCCTGCACTGCCATGGGTTTGCTGCCTCTTGGGCACACCATTCGTCACACCTTGGGGAAGGTATCCCATGGCCTGACTCAACAGGGAGGAAAAATCTCTCTTTGAACTGCAGCATGAGTGTTCTGCAGCAGACAGCGTGTACATCCTCCCTCATGTCAGTGTTTTGCTGGAGGGTTTGGGATGGGGTGAAACCACCCCAGCTGTCAACCAAACCCCACGCAGCTGCTCACTTACTCCCCCACCAGCAGGATTGGGAAGAGAATTGGAAGGGTAAAATCTGGAAAATTCATGGGTTGAGGTAAAGACAGTTTAATAGGGAAAGCAGAAAAGGCCTGGAGTGTTTTTGTTGCACTTCTTTGGTGCCCATCACACGATAGACTTGCATAAAATGAAGAATTAGACCAAACTGCCAAGTGTTCTCTGTAAGCAGTGTAAGTGCTGGGATTTCCTTCATTCTGTTGTGTGTGCCTGTTAATAAAAGGGCTACGTATGACTGTGTGTAGTGGTAACTGCATCACAGGATCTTGGAAAGTGTTGTTATCCACAAGTTAAGGAAATAACCCTTTTTTTGTCGCTTTTCCACTGAATTTGACAGGAATGTCTGTGGCTAGATGCTTAATTTTTTTTAAAGCAGGTTTTATTCTTAGAGGTGCTTTGCAAACTAAAGTCTCTGCCCAGCTTTTGTTTCCGAAAGTGAGGTACATTGCTAGAGTGTTTAATTTGGTATATTATGTGTTCTGTTGTGTAAATAACTGCAGTCTACTCCCTACACCTATGTGCTGCAGGGGCAGTTGAGTGTGCTGGTTACAAATGCGATTATAATTATAATTAAACAGTTATGTCTTGGATGAAAGGTTAGAAATTGTCGCTTATGTTGCTGCGTGGACGTACCAGAAGTTACAGCATTCTGAAGTGCTGTGTATGTGCAGCTATCTCCATTTCCTCATTTTTAGCTCTCCCTTTTTCCAACTCAGCCTCTGCTCTTATTCCCCCAGACCCGTCGGAGCATGGTGTTTGCTAAACACCTCCGTGTGGTGGGAGACGAGTTTAGAAGGAAGTATCTTCAATCCACGGATGAGGCAGACAGGACTTATTACAAGGAGGACTGGACACAGATGAAGGTAAAATCATGACGGTCTGTTTCCATAAGAAATGTAATTTTTATTTCATTTGTGTACTTCTGGCTGTGTGCTGCAGGGCGTGTTGGAAGACGCAGGTGAGTCTAACTCTCCTGCTCACACCGAGGCAGACAGGCGTGTTCCTTGTGTACCTTCTCCCCGTGTGCCACGAGTTAACGGAGTCTGCTGAGGGGTGCCTGGTTCTGGGTGTCAGATCTTTGCTGCCCTCGTTTCAGTAAAGGAAACTTGAATTGCTTCTTGCATTCAGCGTCGTGAGTGGGTGGGAAGTTCAGCTGCAAACTGCCAGCTGAGGATTTATTTGGTCAAAGAGAGCAGTTTTTGCTTACAAAGACTTCACTCTCTAGTTTCTCTTGTATGATGCAGGCCATCCGGAGATCCAAACGTTGCAACAAGTGTTCCAAACTACTCCCAGTCCGTATTTTGAAATTTCTTTCTGCAGCTAGAGTGATTCAGTGCCTTATCCAGAGACGATGCGTTCTGGCCTTTTTGGTGTGAATGTGTAGTGGCGCTCTCAAGTTTTAAAGTTTAATGGTCTCTCTCTCGTAGGTTAAGACGGGCACAGCTCTAGGTGGTCCATACCTTGGGGTTCATCTCAGAAGGAAAGACTTCATTTGGGGTCACAGAGAAGATGTGCCTTCCCTGCAAGGAGCAGTAAAGAAAATCCGCAGCCTCTTGGAGATGCTTAAACTTGAAAAAGTTTTTGTAGCCACTGATGCTGTCGAGGAGGGTAGGTAGATCCCACTCACTTCAGGATTGGTAACTTTTGACAATGAGTGCTGCAATTACCACTTTTATAAATGACTGGGATCAATGCCTCCATCACTGAATGGGAATTGAGCAGGTCTGGGCAGCTGTATCCTTCCAGCTTGAGTAGCTGGTATCAAACCATTCATTTAGTATTTCCCATGGAAGGTTTGACAGTCTCTACAGTGGGAAATTGGGAATTGAATTTGCCTGTTCCTCCTCCTCTTTCTTCCATCCCACATTTTCTCTTTATCATTTCAGAGACTTTTGGACATGCTGGTGGGAAGGGTCCTCTGAAGTCTCCCACCCAGCCTTCCCCTTGGCTGCCCCTGGCTGTGTGTGGCCAAGGCTTAGAAACCCACAACGGTGGGCTTTCCCCCACCAGGCCTTATCCCAGGGCTGCGCTCCCATCCCAGTAGTATTGAGGGATCTGTTTTGATGCGTGATGTTAGAATAACCCTGCAAGGCACGGCACCTGCAGCCTTAAGTTTGCTGCCAAGAAAGGCCTCTCGGTACACCTGCCCTGTAGCGAGGCTAATGGGGCTAATCTGTTCTACCCCTTGCAGACTTCCCCGTGTCCTCAGAATTGGCCCCCTCAGCACTGTGTTCCTGCCCCACCGACTCCCCTCCCTGCCCACCATACTGTGAATTACTGTGTTGTAAAATCTCTCGGTAGATTTTGGTGTCACTTGCTTTGTAACTCTTCACCCAGGGTTTTCTCAAACACATCACACGACAGCAGCGGGTTCTTCGTAATGTCAAGATAAAATTGTGTCTTTCCTTTTCTCAGAGATTGAACTGCTCAGGAAACTGCTGCCTGAGATGGTGAGGTTTGAACCCTCTTGGGAGGAGCTGGAACTCTATAAGGATGGGGGCTTGGCTGTGATTGACCAGTGGATTTGTGCACATGCAAGGTAGTGAACCTGACTTTTTATTTGGGGAGCCAAATCTTGGAGATGCTTGTCACTGTCACAAAACTGAATATGATTTTTGGCCCAGCTGTAGTTCTTTACAAATCATATAAGATATATAATTGCGATGTATATAATAGATGTATGATAGTTATATTGTGTATAGAGGTGATGATCATTTCATTATCGTATCATTTCAATGAACAGTAAAGTTCATTGGACTGAAATCAATTACTTGCATTTTAAAACCTTGGTCCCCCTCACAAACCCTTTCTGATCTTTTTCACAGGTATTTTATAGGCACCTCAGTTTCAACATTTTCCTTCCGAATCCATGAGGAAAGGGAGATCTTGGGATTTGACCCAAAAACAACTTACAACCGGTTTTGTGGTGAAACAGAGAAAAACTGTGAGCAGCCAACTCACTGGAAAATTGTCTATTAAATACAGAGAAATACAAGGGTTTCAGTATTGTGAGAGCTCAAAAGAATAAGGAAAAACTATGGGGAAATACCTCCCTTGGACCAAACTATGATGCAGCCCTGTACTCTCAGTTCCTGCTCTGCTTCCAACAGGAAGGGTGCGACATGGGGTGGCTGTACTGCTCAGTCACTCTCTGTCTCTGGATCTCTCAGCGTTTTTACGTGGTAGCCTCCTGGCGCAGAGGCAGCTTCCTCGCTCCTGGGGCAGACCTCCCTCTTGGCTGCTGCACATGGGTCCCCTCTGGAGCTGTGGAGCTGCGTGTTGGGAGGTGGCAAAGCAATGCCCGGGATGCAGCTGTTTAAACCAGATTCGCGTACTGGAGCATTTCTTACCTGTCCATGGTTCCCTGTGGGGGTCCACAGTCATTTTTAGATTGAAGGACAGGAGAGCTCTGTCCATGGCACAGTGTGTGCTCACCTTGGGAGCACCAGTCTCTACTCCAAGAGGAACCGAGCTGCCACAGGAATCAAGGCAGGCAGGGACTGCTCCTGCTCCCAGGGAAGAGCCTGCAGCACCCACCCCTTGGACACTCACCTTCCAGTGAGGGCACACTGCCCAACAGAGAAAGAGGTTGGCAACTGGTGGAGCAGGGCCAAGGTGCTACTCTCCTGAGGCAGCTCTCTCTGCCTCGCACAGCAGAATCTCCATGGCCAGGCAGCAGGAGCTCGGTGCATTCAACACATGCTGCTGGAAATCAGGCACGGCTGCTCTCCCTCTCAGGAGGTTAGTTCAGGACCTGAGTTTTCCACTGCTTTGTTTCCACAAAGGAAAGAGACAAAAGGGAATACCTTTGCTGCAGTGCTGTGCTCAGGGTCAGTCAGCCTCCACACGGTCATGACAGCTCTATGGGCCCAGAGCTCTGGCTCAGCGGGCTCTGGGCCACAGCCCCGTGGGCTGGGCAGCCGTGGGGGCCTGG